CAGTCTATACTGGTGCATGGGATTAATCCACCCATCCAAATGCAGGACTTTGCATTTGTCTTTACTGAACCTCATGAGATTTCTTTTGGTCCAGTCCGCCAAGTTGTCTAGGTCTCTCTGAATCCTAGCCCTACTCTTCAGAGCTTATCTACTACTCCCCCCAGCTGGGTGTTGTCTGCAAACTTGCTAAGGGTGCGCTCCATCCCATCTTCCAGGTCACTGGTGCACTGAACAAAACCAGGCCAGGACCAACCCCTGGGGCACTCCACTTGATATTGGTTGCCAACTTGACACTGAGCCATTAATTAATACCCTTTGAGTTTGATGATCCAGCCAGTTTCCTATCCACCCTACAGTCTATTCATACAACATGGACTTCCTTAACTTGCTTGCTGGAATGTTGTAGGAGACCGTATCAAAAGCCTGACTCGCTCTTTCACCGCTGCTGGCTGCTCCCCACTCCCAAAACTGTACTGCCAATTGCAGTAGTCTGAGAGCTGATCGTACCTGTGAAGACTTGATGTAAAAAAGGCATTGAGTATTTCAGCCTTTTCCACATCATCTGGCACTAGGTTGCCTCCCCCATGAATCACTCCCTGTGAGTTTAGTCCTGCCCCCAGGTCTTCTTCCACAACCCACCCGAGCTTTTCTATCACTTTAACTTTGCCTTGTTCACTTTTATTCCCTGTCCCCTCTATGCCTGGGACAGCCACCTGACAGATGTACAAACCTTCCACACTCATAAGCTACTCTGGAAATGGAGAGTCAACCAAATCCATTAAGTATTCCAGATCCGACTCAACACGAATTTTCTATGGCTCATTATCGTACTGCAACAAGATCAGATCAACTACATATTTAAGACTAAGAACACTGACAAGCCTCAGCAAGAATACATTGCAGTCAAATTAACCTAGTAGTGGGAACACAACTATAAATTTCTGGTGTTTTGTAGTTGTATGTTTCTGCAAATTCTCCACGGTTTGGAAAAAAAAAAGGACAATATTTTCCAAAGAGTGTCAAAAATGTATATTATGCTATAAAAGTAAATGGAAATAGCAATCTTTTAAAAAGAAGCATAAATAAATGCATCTCTCTCTCTACACATCTTGCAAGGTTTTACATAAAAAGGGTCTAAAAATTGTACAGTATTAATATAAACCATTCATTTTTAAATTCTAGCTACAACAGAGCTGTGACCAGGGGCTATTTAAACTAATACTAGGTCTTAGATTCCTGCCATGTCTGTAGATGTTTCAAGATGAAATGTTTAATACACAGAAGCTAAACCATAGGCATTGATGAGCCTCTCAAACACCTGTGGAAATAAGGCAACAAACTGCGGTCCCAATCCTGCCAACAGTTATACGAACGCTTCACTTTAAGAGCAGGAATTGTCCCTAAGGACATGAGAGGAACTACTTGCTGCTTAAAGTTACATATGCATTAAGTGAGTCCATGCTGATACAATGCCCAGAACATGAGTCTTGCACTGCTTCACCTCACTTTTCTTACTAAATAAAGCCATGCCCATCAGGCTGAATTCACTGCAGAAAACCCCCTGGGAGACTCTCAGTAAATGCAGTGAAGGTGTGTGGGAGGAAGTCAGTACACAAGCCAGTTGTTCCCATCTGATAACACAGAAGTGTACTTTGATTTTTAGCAACCAGTCACTGGGGAGGTGGACCCAGGAGCCCACAACCCTGAACAGTATTTGGTCTGTAATAATAGGATATACTGTTAGCAAGTTAACACTTTAAAATAAAATCTAAAAAAAATCCCAGAGAAATCAAGTCTTTTCACTAATTAAAACTTCACACTAGACAACCATCTTGAGTGGCTGTTAAACAAACAGCAAGCTTGACACTTCACTAAAAATGAGAGCAATATGATAATTTTTGAATAGCTTTAATGAAGCCAACGTTCAGTGTCTACCCACCCTCATCAGTCATTTTCTGTTCCAATTGTAGCACCATTTCCAGGAGATTTTTTTTATACACTACAATTTTCACTTCTTCTCTTATCTGTGGGATTAGCTTGTTTGTTGAAAGACACCCGCAGACCACCTTTCAGCCAAAATTTAGGTATATGTGAATTTACAAATCTCAAATGACAAAGATTATTTTTCTCGCAAAAGTGTAACATATGCAAATACTGCAAACCCTATTTAATGTAGGAGTTCTTGAAAACACAATTAGGAACTATATTTATCCTCCCCCCCCACACAAATTTGATTATTAATTTTCCCTAAAATGAGAAAACACAAAAAGCAAACAAGTGAAAACTTAATTTTTTTTTTTTTAATCGACACTTGCCCCATTGTAAAACAAATTCTTACTAGCGGTTAAGACAACTAAAGATTTAAAGCATGCTCTCCTAATGCATATGTAAGATCAGTGCTCCATTTTGAATTTAAAATTTAACTCTGCATCAAAATAAAAAGTCCCTTTGGTACTTACATGCCCCCCATGAGCATATTACCTGCACATGTCTCAAGCCTTAGTATTTCTATTCTAATAAGTACAGATTCCTGGGGAAGGTAGGAAAGCATCTTCTCCTTTTTTCCTTTCTTCTTTCAGATCGGGAATCCTGATGCAGATGATTTAAGTGGGTCTGCCAAAGGTCACGCAGGAAATTGATGGAAAAGAAGAGATTTCAACCCAGGTTTCCCTGAGTTCCAGCTAAAGTCCTAATTACTTGACCATCCTTCTCCATAGCCTCCCATAGGAAGAGAGCCTTTCTGAGATTTTTTCATGCCACATCCCATCTAAAGAGAGGCATTTCTTGGGGCCCTTGGCCAAAATTAGGAAGTGACCGGATAAAGAATTTAAAAATAGTGAGGAACCATCCAGATCCTTCAGCCATTTCCCCACAGACATCAGAACACACGTCGTGGCTTTTCTAAGGAATGAAATGTGAAAGCGTATTACTTCCCAGCATTCTTAATCGTTTGCATTTCTACCGCACCTTTCACCAGAGATTTTCAACGCAAATTACAAGTCTGACTTCAACCCCACAATGGGCAAAGCAAGGCAGGAAAGCATTTTTTCATTTAAAAATAGAGGATGAGCAAAGCTCAGAGAGAGGTTAACTTTGCTAGTCATGCAGGAACATCATAACTGAAAGAGCAAGGAGTCCTTGTCTTCTAATCCTGAGGGTTAGTTATTTCTCCTACATTCAAATATTGAACAGCAATATCCATTGTGTAATCAGCTTGCAAGTCCGCTATTTCAAAAGCGCATCTCCTGCATCTGTCACAACAGGCGTACACCGAGCTACCTGCACCTGAAATGGGTTGGACCCTCTTAAAGCACACAGGTGTGTAAGGAAAAATAAAACTACAGAGCAGGTTGAAATCTCACGCCACCTCTACTGCTAATGAGAACAACCGAGGCCATTTTAATAAAGAATCAAGCCACCCGGCATTTTCACGGTACACACAGATCTCGCCGTATAATCAGATCTTCTATGGTGAAAAGAAGAGAATTAAAGTGTTGTCTGCTAATCCTAAATGAAGACATTTTTCTCCAGGAGAGTGAGACTAGTTGCATGTAGACACATGCCTGAAAGCAAACAGCCTGAGTCAGGACTGAGGTTACGGTTTCTCCTTCTTCCTGCCCCACTCACGACTGAAGAGTTTTATTTTATGAACGTTTCAGCAAGACTTTAAAATTTCCCTCAAGTTGTCCTGGCTTGATACCTTCCCACATTTGTACTGCACCAACACCCAAGAAGCGCTGTCATGAATCAAAGACCCGGTTTTGCTGGGCACAGCATAAAAAGATAATGACAGTCTTTGCTGCATTGAACTTGTGCGCTAAAGGCTCATCTATGTGAGAAAATTAATACAGAATAAGCTGTAGTAAGAATTTTAAAATGTGATATTGATCCCAAATCCCCCAGATAGATTGCCTTACTCCACGGTTATCAAAATGTGGGGCAAAAGTTATCAATATACACCACGATCCACGAGCCCACCATGCCTGCTTAGCTTCCACTTCACAGGGGATCAAAGGACGCCCAGAGCAGCACGTGCACAGCACAGCCCCGTCCCGTCCCCTTTCACCAAAGGGGAGCTGCGTCTACATCCATGTCTCACAAGCCCCTCAGCCGTTTAGCTTCAACATTTTACAAATTAATTATTAATACGCCCTGATGAAGACATCCTGCACTCACCGGGCTTCGTGCATTTTAAACAGCGTCCCGCTAGGGATCTACTGCAGAACCGTGACTCTGGGCTCCTGCCCCGGCCACGCTTTCACAACCTTGGCAAATGCGACAGATTTAAAGGCACCCGACTTGTAGCTTTTACTACTGGTTTGGGGATTTTTATTTTTATTTTTTTGATGATCAGAGCAATCCTTCCCTCAAAGCTCACAACGGGACTGACTATTTTTGAACGCACTTCAAAACCGTGTTGGGGACGGTGGGGCGCGCACCTCGCCGTGCCAACCTCTCCCCAGGCTGGCGCGGCGGAGAGTCAGTCGCTTTTACACGACCAGTCCTGGCTCGGCGCCGCCCTGCGAGCCCAGGAGCCCTTCTCCTCCCCGGCCCCGCCGACGTCCGGGGGCTCAAGCACAGGGACAAGAGCCCCGCAGGGGAAAGGGGCAGGGGGGAGACGCACACACGTGCATGCACGCACTCTGACACATGCACACCCACACTCACACCCTTACACACATGCACACCCACACACTCACTCACGCACACCCACGCACCCACATGCCCACACTCTTACACGCGCACACACACACATATATGCACATGCACTCACTCACACCCTTACGCACTCACACCCACTCTTACACACATGCATTCACACTCTTACACACACAAGCAGCCACAAGCTCACACCCACCCACACTCTTACACACACATGCTCACACACGCACATGCTCTCTTACCCACATTTACACACGCACTGATGCATGCACACGCACACACCCCTACACACGCACATACACTTTTACACACACGTGCAGGCACTCTCACACTCTTACCCCGCCGTCATCACCACGTTGTAGATGACGAGATAGGCCGTGGCCAGGGCGCTCGGGCCCTTCCTCCTGCGGGCCGCCTGCCCCCCGTACCCGTTGTCCGCCCGCCCGCTGTCCGGCGCCGCCATGTTACCTCCCCCGGGCCTGGGGCGGGCCCCGCTGCACGGCCCCACCCCCCGCCCCGCGCGCCCTGAAGTGCCCGCCGCCATCTTGGAAACGGGCAAGGCTGCCCTTAGTTCCTCCCTCACCGCCCTCCCCGACTTCCTGAAGCGCCCGCCGCCATCTTGGAAGCGGGCACGGCTGCCCTTAGTTCCTCCCTCCCCGCCTTCCTGAAGCGCCCGCCGCCATCTTGGAAGCGGGCAAGGCTGCCCTTAGTTCCTCTCTGAGGCCCTGCAGGGAAGGCAATGGCCTCCCTCCGCCCTGGCCCCGAGGGAGACAAGTGAGTCCCTCAGCTGCTCCCTCCCATGAAGACCATGAAGTCTTCCCACAGCCGGATGGAGATCACAAGCGCCTCAGACGCTGGGCCAGCTTATGACCATTTCTGTCACCCCTGAAAACAGCAGCCGTGCATGGTCCAAGAGTCGCAGCCACCCCCAGTCCTGGGCCGCTCCCGCCGGGTGCCTGCCTTTTTGCTGCTGGACATTGCAAAGAGGAAACCGGTGGCGTGGTTTACGAGGCAGCAGCTTGGCGGTGGAAACAGGTGGATACTGCTGCTCCTCCACAACGAACGCCGAACAGCGGTGGTTCAAAATGGCCGGATGACAGGAAAGCAGGGTCATCTTGGCAGGAGGTCATCTCGGCCCCCTTCGGCTCAAGGCAGGAGGATCGCCCCCTCCCAGCCCGGCGTCTGTCCGACCCACTTCCAAAAGCGTCCGAGGAGATGGCTCGATGCGTCGGAGGAGCGCCAACGCCCTCGTAGTCAGGAAATGCCTCGTCCTCCCCAAACCGCGCTTCCTCTACCGCCGCGTGCGGCCATCGCTTCTAGTCCCGTCCACTACAATCATGGAGAAAAGCTCATCTCTGTTCTTTCTATAATCGCCCTTCGTGTATTTGAAGACGGTTATCGGATTCCCCGATCTTTTCTTCCCCAGACTACCTCTTCCGCCTGGACCCTGTAAGCCATACTTTCCAGGCTTTTCATCACTTTTTGCTCCTCTGGACTGGACTCGTTGCAAGCTGGAAGTGTGGGGCCCAAAATGGGACATGGGTGATCCCTCACCGGCTCTGAGCAAAGCAGAAGATCACTCCCCTCGACTTGTGTTAACTCCTATTAGTACAACGAGGATGCTGTTGGCGGGATTTTTTGCAACAATGCCAGCTCGTATTCAGCTTATGGTGTACTGCAACCCCCAGGTCTTTCTCTGCCGTATTGCAGCCTCGCCAGTCGCTCCCCGGTCTGTATTTGCACACGCAGTTATAACATCCCGAGTGCACGACTTTGCACTTGTCCTTGTTGGATCTCATTGGATTGATTGCGGACCATTTCTCCAGTCTATCCAGGTCATTTTGGATCCTAGCCCTGGCCTGAAGCCCACTTGGCATCATCTGCAAATTTGCTAAGTGTGCATTCAGTTCCACCATCCAAATCATGAATGAAGATGTTAAGCAATACCAAACACAGGACAGACCCCAGGGGAATGCCACTTGCTACTTCTTCCCACCCAGGCATTGATGAATATTCATTGAGCATGATGAGCCAACTAGTTATGTATCTATGTTACAGTACATTAATCTGATTTGTATTTCCTTAGCTTGCTAATATCACAGACTCTAGGTCACCTTATTCTTTAACTGCTAATGTCCTGGTTGTGCAAGCTGAGCTGTGAGGCAAACATCTGTACCTGCAGAGTCTCATTTGACTTTGCCAGGACCCTGCCTGGTACAGAGATCTCCTTGAGACATTGGAGTTTGCACCAACAAGGACTGGAACTTGAATTAAAGGATAAATTGTACAGTGAATTATTATTTTATTTTTAAAATTACAGTCTGTTCTTTGTTTCAGAAGGATGATTTTTGCCTTTTAAAATTATTTTAAGAATTAGAAAAGTAGCAATCTCTTTTCAAGATCTCACTCCCACAGAAAAAAAAGCAAATCTATAATTTTCCTTAGAGAAACTAAAAAAGATTACATTTTTAAATCCAGAAAGGGCCTTCAGTTTCCAGTTGCTCTTGATTTTTTCTGAATAGACTTTCATTGATTTTGTACTTCAATAAGCTACTACACTGAAGCATAACTGAGAGTTATAACTAATTTGTTGCAAATATTCTACACAATAGCAAAAAATTAAGTAATATTACATTCATAACAGCACAAATTTCAGTACCCTTGAAGGTCCGAATATAGAGAGAGCTACTTTTTAGATTGGTTATATGTAGTCAACCAATTCTTCACCTCCATTTTCTTGGGCAGGGACCGGGACTTCCCCACTGTGATGCAAGATGGACTCAAGAGGAACGCCTCCAGACCTCAGGTTGGGGAGGACCGAGTTAGAGAGCTTCTGGAGGGGCTGGACGTGTTCAAATCAGTGGGTCCAGATGCTTTCCACCCCAGGGTGTTCAGGGAGCTAGCAGGGGTTATTGCAGGGCCCTTGGCAGGGCTTTACGAGCACTCGTGGTGCTCGGGCCAGGTGCCAGATGATTGGAAGATAGCCAACGTGGTCCGCATCTTTAAAAAAGGGAGGAGGGAGGACCTGGGCAACTATAGGCCTGTCAGTCTTACCTCAATCCTAGGGAAACTCTTTGAGAAGATCATCAAGGAGCACATCTGCAATGGGCTGGCTTCAGGGATGATGCTCAAGGGCAACCAGCACGGTTTCTTTAGGGGCAGGTCATGTCAGACCAACCTGATTGCCTTTTATGATCAGGTCACAAAAGCCTTGGATGCAGGTGTTGCCGTGGACGTAGTCTT